AAGGTGATGTTGAACTTTTTTTTTGTATTGTACCATAAGCCCGTATCTATTACAGTATAACAGTAAAATTTTCATAATAAAATATTAAGTCTAGTATCCATAATTTTGTAATAAATGGCCTTAGTAATATGTACCTGTCATTATGTAAATACGATCATGTTTCGTAATATGGTATTAGAAAGGGATTTCGTACTAATCAAACCTCTCAAACAGTTTTATGATTGCTTTGATCCGATATAGTTAGAACACGCGTCCAAGATGGACATAACCAAAGAGAAAATCTGCCATATTTTACAGTTTTTCTTAAAATGCAAGCCAAGCGGCGGAACAGTTGGATAGAATTAACGGTGCTGATATTTGTAGTATGAGTAAATCATGCGTAATCTTGGTATCGTCGATTCCAAAATCGTCAAATTGTCGCAAAAATCTAAAAAATAATGTTAATCGTCGAGACCGACAGACAATGCTTACAGTTCCGATTGTCCAGCAGCTAAGCATGACGCAAAAATTCGTTTAGCACCATTTAAATATGACTCGGTAATAAATAAAAGCTCGATAGAAGGGTTGCACACATGTTATCGCAAAAATATCTCAAGGTTCGAATTTTCCTTTCTACACTCACCAAAAGCTGCGGTAGCTTGGTTGGGATAATCTTATGCATTCACGGTATAGTAGAGTGATTAATACCTGTTGCTGTTAATGACGAATAATTTTACTGTTGAAAATGTTTCTTCAAGAGAAGCTTGTGAAAATCGAGTGTCACAGTTGTTATTAGCATACAACTGATGCCTTGTTTCTGTAAAGTTATCGAACAAAACAATTCATACTTGTAGTTCACCTTAATTAGACAATTCCAAATATGCTTAATAAAACATTCAATTCAACCCAAAAATAAGGTATTTCTTTTTACTAGACCTAAAATTAAAATACTTTAATATCGATTGTATTCACTTTTGTACTTGCGACGAGTTTTTGAAAACCTAAACTTGTTTATCAATATTATTCAGTGATGATTTCGTTATTCGAAGTATAATATTTTAGGTTTGGAAACACTCTTCTTGTTTTGCTGCACTTCCAAATAATTTTACGAAGTGATGTCTAGTTGACTATCCTCTGCTGAATACAAATCCGGGTCCGTTCCGCTCATGTAGATTCGTGGAATGTCGTGGGATTGACATTTCCAGCTCTTCACACTTGATTATCTCCCACATTTGATATCATCTGATTACTAAAATAAGCTAAGTAGGGCTAAGCCCTTTTTAGCGATTTATTCTTGCGTAGGTTGCAAGAAGATCGTTATTAATTCGCTGTTCTCTATAAAAAAAATTAGTTCTCACCCCGTTAAATACTATCGAGATGGAAATCACCAACACATTTCTTAATTTTTTTTTAAATAATTCATTATTTATTGCACTCATTATATTTAATTTCAATTAACATAGATAATTTTGTAAACACATAAATTAGAAACCACAAAACAAGAGCAGGAACCAACAAAGCGCCAATGACAAATTTCACAAAACAATAAATAAAATAAAGAATAATAAAATAAAAAATCCATAAATATTTCCACAATCGTCACATGCCACATGCAAACGACTCATCGATCAATGTGTCCGCCGAAAGCGAGCGACGCATTTCCATTATAGAGATTTATTGACAAAGATATTCAATATAAGCGGCAGTTTTATTTGCATTTTTCACATATTACACGTAATCGAAAAGTTCATGTCAACGAAATATCAATTTCTACTTTTATATATGTGTATGTATGTCTATGTGTCTATGTAGCAACATGCCCACACTGCGACCTCTGACTGAGTGAGTGACAAATGGAAGCAGTTCAAAATCATCACCACAGAAGATCACGCCATCGCTCTAGTATGTTTAAGTACATTGGTGTATGTGTGAGGAGCGAAGGAGGAGAAATACTTTGTAGGAAATAATGAAAATATGCAAACGATCTTGCTGTACGCTCTAGTTACTTCCTCATCAGTTCAGCGCAGTGAGTGGCTGCCGCGTAGGTGGATGCCCATTGCGATGGATGGTTCTGCAGAGGAGCGCATTAGCGTGCCACAGACACACACACATACACCAAGTACACTAATGCATAAGTAGTTATGAGTTGGTGGCTTCCCAGTCTTCTTGCTCACTGGATGATTGCTGACATGGTTCAGTGAATGGAATAGCGCTCAGCTCCCTCTAGGCGCTATTATTGTGACAGTCAAGCAAGCTGGCGGACAGACAGGTCGTTAAAGTGACACACACACGTACGTTACATCTAGGCGCTGCGTGCAATGAGGCGATGATAGCGTTTCGTGCTGCTCATAAAATTCACCTACCCCTCACCACTACCAGCTGTCATACAACTACGCGTGTCTGTGGTCTACATAGGTTCCCTGTGCGGCTCATGGCCCTTTTGTTTGCTGGAAAATGAAATTTATATGCGGGGGTGTCTATTCATTCACTTACTTGTCGTTTGTGCTCGCAGACGATCGCGTAGCCGCAATGGAGTTAATTCGTTGACATTCATATTTAATAAATTACTCGAATTCTTTGTATTAACAGGCGGTGGGGTGTAGTGGCATGTGGCAATATGTGCGTGCTGTGGGGGCGCACAGCTCTAAATTGGATGTATCTGTCAGTCACATATGGTTATGCTTAGAATGTTTTGTTAGAGGCAAAGATGTAAAGTTCTAAGCGCCGAGACAGCCACATATTCAAATAAACTCATTGTATTCCGCATCCTTATGTATGTAAGTGGATTTTATAGCAATTTTATTTATAAATCGCTTAATTTGTAACTGTAAATTATCTTTTAAGTGACTTATTTGTACACTCAATGACATTTCACAGTTCTCGAACTTTTGACTTTTGTTGCTTGTTATGTGTGACTGCGCTTGGACCTATGTGTGTATGTACTTACATATTTATATTAACATTGTGCAGGCGAAAGCTAAGAGTTGTCAAATTTTGTGATTACATAATTATTTTTGTTTTCTTTTAAAAACAACATCTTACATATTATTAATTTATGATATTTTAAAAGTGGTTTAAGTGGTTAAGGTTTTTATCATAAGAAGAGGAGTCAGAAGGGTTATAATAGAATTCTATAGTTCTGCGTAAGTAGTTCTTCATTTATCTTGGGAAGTAAACATGTCACAGATGTAAAATCGACTTTAATGACAACTCTCTTAAATGAGACCGTTAGATTTATAGGAAGTACAAATACAGAACAGCAAAATTCTCAAAGATTTTAATAAGCCAGTGAAATAAAATGAAAATATTATGCGAATCAAAGTGAATTACTAGCTGTAGTATAACGTTCTTCTTTGTGAAGAAATCAGCACTTAAATGCTCTCTATACACACGAAATTGTGTTGGTAAAATTTAAGCAAAACTCGTTAAACTGTGTTCCAAAAAAAAAGAGATCGACGTGTTCTGATTGTAATTAAGAAATCATTAGTTTAGGTATCTGCATGAAACTAGTACAACTTTTAACTCAAGTTGTATTTGTATTCCATAGTTATATTTAGAGCTCAAGGTAAATGGATGTTGATGTGAAAAATGCACTTTATTTTCCAATATAAAGTAAAAAGTTCTTTAAAGCAAATGAAAATCTTGCAACAACCATACCTATTATCTTACAAAGTCTCGTAAAAAGAATTCCTTTACTTTGCATTAAATTAAACTTCAAATATACACTGTTTTGTTTGATAACTAGTTAGCATTTTGAAACCCTTGTCCCTATTGTCAAAAAAGTGGGATAGTCGATTTTCACAAGTTTCTTTGAGGCGAATTTTTCACTAGCAAAATCATTCGCCATAGACAGAAACACTTAAAGTAAATGGTTCCCTGTCAATCCCACAAGTCTCACAAAACACATAGCAAAACATTCTGGACCGTAAATCCTGGATTCGCCACTGCCAGTTCACCGCGATACGGCCACGACCGCTTACGTTGTATGGCATATTTGCTGTTTGCTGGTGTTCATCTTTGACGCGTGCTCAAATAATACTGTGTCAAGAAATTACAAAATTGTCTGAGAAATTTTAACACCGTATAGCGTAAAATTTAAATTTAATAACGCCGTATAGCGCAACCCAACCGCGGTTATACAACGCAACATACAAATGACGAAAGCTAACTATTAGAAAAATAGTGAATATATTTTTACTAGAGCTATTATAACGGCATTTTGCCAATGTAATGAATAACTCTCGCTCAAAGCTAGAAAGCACAACGACTTCTATTATAGTAGGTCTTAACCTAAACAAGAGAAAATAACGTCAAAATGATGACGTGATTAAAACCCTCGTAAAAATGCAGCAATCTATATGTTTGCCCTTTGAAAGAAAATATAGTTCATTTGTATAAATAATTTTTTTTACTTTTCTAATGTCTTCAAATCTTTTTTACATTTGAAATAATAAGCAAAAAGGCAGTGCCTTTTAAATTGTTAAATAAAATTAAGAAGCTTAGAAAGTGGTTTACGAACTAACTCAGTGTTTAGATGTTCTCGTAGTAGAGACACCCACCACGTGCTGTGTTGCAGGGTGCCCAGAAATCATATTTGTCATAAAAAATATATGGCATATATACTTGCATATATGTATATGCATTTGTATATGCATAAACGCCAATTGTGTATATTGTGTAATTCCTTTTCAAGGCTAAAACGATGGAAACTTAACAAAAGTGTTATATTTTTAAATGTGCGGAGTGTTTTGTTTCCAAAAAGTGTAAAAGTAAAATATAATAACATCAGAGAATGTTAATGAATACGGTGAATTTAAAAATACATTTGCTCTATTAGAACTAAGCTATGTCACACACCCCGTTTAAACGACATATTCAGCGCGTCTTCTCTCCGACGCCTAAAACCATGTTGATAAAATTTAGTTTTAATTCTTACAACGATGTAAAAACTGTTTATATTATGTTAGAAATAATCATTTAATTTTTTTTTTTTATTAAAAAAAAATTTGCTTTTTATTTAATTTTTTTATAATTTTTTATTGAAAGCTATTTGACTTCAACAAACCTCTTTCTTCGACTTAATTAGTACTTTATCATAATTATAATATTTTCTTTTGTTAGTTTGTTGTTGTTAAATAATCGAATATCGATATAATCGCAGTTTTATGTTGTTGCAAAAATACTCTTTTGTATATAGGCACTTATGTATTACTCATATAAATTGTAAGTTTTCGAACTTTTAAACTTTTACATACTTATAAAAATAAAATACACAAAAATCTGAGAAGTTTAGTTATAAAGACATAAATAAAATTACAACAAAAATGTATATGAGTGTAGAAATTGCTAAAAGCTAGCAGAAAGTCGCCATTTACATAAATAATTACATTAATGTTTGAGTACAATTGCAAGAGCGGAGGAAGTAGACAATACAAAAAGTTATCGATAAATACATATACATATGCTATATAGATTGTAGATATGTAAATACTGCATTATGCTTATATTTTCAGTGTTACAATTGCTTTGTTCCGGACTATGTTATGTTGAAGTTCCACTTTGTTGCCGGTTATTGTTGTTGTAACCTGTCATTTTTAACGTTGTGCGATGATTCGTTGTTGCAGCTGTAGCAATTTATTGCTGTTCACTTTTCTTGTTTTTTGATTTACAACTAAATGTTGAATATATATGTGGCATGCAACAGGTTGTGGCGAAAATGAAAAATTTGTGTGTATGTATGCAATATTTGCAACTTTTTTTCGTAGAATTTTCCATATTGCTTTTCTTTCATTTTTGTTGTAGTTTTTGGTTTTTGTGGACATACATTTTTATATAAATATAAATATTGGAACGCAGCTCAACGCGATTTAATCATTACTTTTGTTTTGACACCTATTAATTTCATTTATTTGTGTTGTTTGTGTGTATATTTGTATTTAAGCGTAATCACGTGCGCTATCCAGTTTTCTCATCTGTATTTTAAGAAAGGTGAGACACGTTTTAATAGACAAAAATCTATGATATAAATAAATAAGATAAGCGAATTAAGCAAATGAGATCAGCAGTTAAGGAGTATGCACAAAAGTATGTTTATGTATGTATTATGATTTGGCATTCGTAAGTATTATATATAATATATATGTACATATGTATGTAGTATGTGATATGTGATATGTGGCAAGATGCTGTGCATAGCGTTAGAGAAGTGTTGTGTGTCGTGTGATAGCAGCAAATAAGCTCTTTAAATCATACAATATTAATGGACCATATACATATATACATATGTTTTCGGAATTCCAGCATTCGATTGTTCGGCTCGCATTATATATAATATATACATAATGACTTGTTATATAATCTAAATATGCAAGCAGCATTATTAATTTTTCTACTCAACTCTTCGCTTATCCGCTCAATCAAACACTCGGAATTCATCTATTGTTTTTGTATATGTATTTTTTCTTTTTTGTTTTTGTTTTTTTTTTTTTTTTGTTTTTAGTAGAAATCTGAGTCTTTCCAGGTTTTAACAACGCTCACCTCACGCTCATCAGCGTGTGTCCGATATTTCTCGGACACCTCAATCACTTTAACACTGGTCTGCATAAGTGGCTTTTCTAGCACTTGTGTGTAGATGAGCGCTGCCGCGATGCCACCTAAAATGGGTCCAACCCAGTACACCCAGTGTGCATCCCAATTGTCGACAGCGAAGGCCGTGCCCAAAGTACGTGCTGGATTCATGCTGGCACCGGTATAACGAATTGTGCCCAAGTGACCGAGTGTTACGGAGAGACCAATAGCGAGTGGAGCAGTGTAGCGGGAGTCTGGAATATGTAAAATGACAGTCATAAATTTTAAATATTTTTACTCTTGGATAAAAACGTAAATTATCTTAATCTGGGTTCCTTATTTCGTATCTTTGTTATATATATGTATTTGTAACACCCAGAAGAAAATGATCAGAGTGACGAGCTGAGTTGATTTAACCCTGTCCGTCTGTCTGCCCCTTTGTCTGTATATAGATAGGTTATCTCCACTAAATTTGGCAACGATTATTTTTCAAAAAACCCTTACAATCCAGCATATAGCTGTCATACAAACTGACCTTTAAGAATGAAGTCATGAAATGGAAAACTTTTTTATTTGTGAATGGTATTAAACACAGTTTGACCGAAGTCAATGTCTATTTCTTGTTCTCCCAATCTTAGTGTGAAATAGTTGGAAACTCTATACAAATATATTGAAATGAAAAAATTATATATCTACGTTTTAACAGTTGAGAAAGTTTATAAATTAAGAAAGGCAACGAAAAACGCTAATATTTTGTTATCATTTCTGATTTTACATTGTTGTGTGGCAACCCTTTCCAAGAGAAACATTAGTGTTAACCATTCATTTATCTTCGAATTATGCGATCGTAGTAATGTTAACAGTATTAATTTTGTTTTTTTCTCTTCATTATTCAACGAACGTGTATATAAAATTAAATTGACAACCCGGAATTGGAGTTACCACTGTTGCAACCTTGTCAGAAAGCTGTTTTCAAATTTGACAATTTATTATATTTTAGTAGAGAGTAAATAGGGTAAAATGTTCCAGGAAATATTTATAGTTAAAGTTGATATTCATGCCCAATAAATAAGCTATGGAGGAGCATGCAACCAAATTGACCATAATTAAAGGTAAGATGAGGAGCGGTATACCTCGGAAAACTGCCGAAGACATCTTATGTTTGCAGTAGAAAGTAATCGAAAGTTGATCATTAATATATAATTTAGTATCATTTTACCATAAACAAACTAGTCACCCGAACTTTTAGTCCCAACCTCAAATATTTGAAATATAATCTAAATTCACTTCACCTGGTTTATGAGCATCACAAGCACCAAATACGGTGAGCACTAAGACTAGACCCAAAAAGAATTCAATACCGAGACCCTGTAGCTCGGTAATATTTGGGGATAGATGTGTATGACCCAAGCCATTGTAGTAAACCTCATCGATGAGGGTCTGAAAAACAGCGAAAATATCATGTTTAATTAAGTCAAATCAAAATTAATAATTGGTAATTACGTAGAATAAACAGCAAAGCAAAATATACGTACACGAATGGCTGCCGTGCCGGCTATGGAACCCAAACATTGGAATATGATATAGAACACGGCACGTAAAACGCTTACACGTCCCGCCACCAGCAAACCAACTGTGACGGCAGGATTTACGTGACCACCGCTTATATTGCCAATAACCTAAAAATTTAAAAAATTGTTGAAATAATAAAAATTTACAATTATATATAAATATATATATATTGAAAACATATGCACATTTTATTTTGCAAGTATGCGTTTGTAATAGGAGTGTGCGTACTTGTTTATTATCTCCACTAATATTTACTAAATGACAATAATATTAAGTAATTATAGTGCTTGTGGATAGACATGCTTTCGAGTAGTATATAAAAAAAAACATGCATATGCATATGTATATATAATATTTGTACTTGTGATTTTGCATTTCATGTAACTAAACTTTGTAATTCGCTCGCCGTCCATTTTCACTTAATTACATTTTAATTTCTGAATTCGCTACTGAAAATTGTGGCATTCTAAGTTTTGATTTATGTAGAAATGCAGCAAAATTTATCTGAGAAACTAATTTTCCGCCATTTATATTATTTATAATGTATGTATATTAGGGTGGAGTGAAAAAAAAATTTTAACGACAACATGCTTTCCTTTAAGCGTTAAAATAAATTTTGAACCAAAAACCGACATACTCGGTAATTTTTGTATAAATGTAAAGAGTTTAAACCAAAAATGATTTTTTCTTGTCCAAAAAAAATTGTAATTCGAAATTTACTTTAAAACTGAGTGCGCTGTCTCTAGATTTAAAAAAAAAATTTTTTTTCGCTCCACCCTATTGTATGCGATGTATGAATATATATAATATATAAGTACATTTACTTGTTTGTGTAGTAATTTTTGTTGTGGCCGTAATGGACCGCATCAATTTTTGGCGAGCCGCAGAAAAGTAAAATTACACGAGACATTGAAAATATGCATATAATACACATAAACGAGGTGTGTCCTTGAAACACATCTAAAATGCGCTTTTCGGTATGGCCTTTAGCTCTTTCTTCGATTCTGACTTGATTTCATCAATTGTGGCAAAGCGCTTACCTTTCATTGGTTTCCCCAGTTTTGGGAATAGGAAAAAGTCGCAGGGAGCCAAATTTGGTGGTTTGAGCAAACCCGGATCGTTGTTAACGTCATTCAACAACTCCTGAGCGATACTAATGCGACATTGCTTCTGCTCAAAATTTAGCAAGTTCGGAACAAACTTCGCTGCCATACGTTTCATGCCCTAAACATTTGAGAAAATTAAATGACATGAGACGATTGATATGCCAATATCCTTTTCAAATTCCCTAATAGTGATTCGACGATTTTCAAGAACACTTTTTTTACTGTTTCGATGTCTTCTTAGCTTGTGGGCTTGGTCGCATCTCCAGGATGCTAATCGTCATCAACATCTTCTCGGTCTTCTGTAAAACGCTTGTACCACTTATAAAGACATTTTTCAGACAAAGTGGACTCATTGAATGCAACAGTCAACATTTCAAGTACGTTGGAGCAATTTATTCCATTTTTAACGCAAAATTTAATACATATTCTTTGATTCATTTCTTTCAAATGTCAAAAATCGGAGAGCACACAAAAACGTAACCAATCTTGTCTGTTGTCAAAAACAAACTCCTAATCGAAGTTGGCTCCTAATGCAAGTACAGGATAAACATACTCGTATGTGTCCGATTACAATAAAAACAAAATATCGATAATCGAATGTACGCAACCGTCGAAAAGTCAAAATTCACCGTTTCCTTTGAATACACCTCGTATATGGTATACATACATACATATATACATATATACTATGACAAACAATGCCGAAATTTTCAGATTTTTCTATCTATATATTTAGTCAACACCACTTGCAAATAAGTAGTAGAATTTATTAGTTTTAAAAAGTCCAAGTTTTCTATAGTTAAGCGAACAAGTTCAACGAGAATAATTTCACTAGCGAAAAAAACTGTTAAGGAAAAGATCATTACATATAGCCCTTCATAAGTATAATGACATATATATAATATATAGATATCGCTCATATAATGACCAAGGGCACGGAACTAGAATATAAAGAAAAAACCTTGCTTTCACCACAATCGGATCTATATACAGTACCGACAGGTATTTATATATGACTAAGGACTGTTACTAAATCAACATTCTCTAAAACTATTCAAAGAATGTTTGATGCTGTTGCAACAAAAATAAATAAATAAATGTAAAAAGTATTTTTGCGATAGATACTTCACCTCCGAACAAAAGTTAATCCGCAAATATCTCCATTTTGGATTCCGTAACATTTACAGTAATTACATTTCCAATTTGTTCGAGAGATTGTGCCAGAAATTAAAGATGTATTTCTCCGTTTTTCGAAATTTGCCTTTGAAATCGAAATTTTTCACTTCGAAGTTCGAAGTTGGATTTTAAGGGATCAATAAAATGAAGATTTAGCATTCAGCATTTTAAGCTATTTCTCCACCGAAAGATATAAAAAAGTTAGTATGTATTGAACGTTTTCGCATTTGAAACCAAATAGGTAAAATCAATAAAAAAAAACACTTTGGCTATTATTTTTTTTTTCAAAAATAGTCTAACTTCTATTGGATATATTTTACCATAATTTTGTGGCATGTAAGCCCAAAGGAGTAACTTTGACCAAAATAAATAGTCATTAACATTTCAATGATTTATGCTGCTATTCGTAAAAAGTATTTGGAACAAGGAAAACAAGCTAACAGCATTATGAACTTATTTTTACGGTGATATGTATAGGTATGCATGTATGTATAGATGATTTAACATACATTACCAATTTACTCTCAAGCATAGCTAGGCAGCGAACCATTTAAGGATATGCAAGTGAGTGACGGCGAAAAAATTCTAGCAAACCAAATTTGTACCTGTATCGTTGTTTTTCATTTTTTCTTAATTTTTTAGTATTTTTCTAAGAACAAAATCAAAGAAACAATCAACAGTAATAAAATCAATATCTAACTAAGAGTCAATTTATGCGCACACAATCGGTTCAGCTACCTATATCTAATTTATTAATTGGCGACTGATTGTCATTGTAATTTTTATGCTTACCGTGATCGCTATGAAAACCGCCAGTCCGAAAGCGAACGCCTTAAACGTACCATCCTCGGGTTGGGTACACGCTCCGCACGCAAAGAAATTCAATAGGAAATTACCTAAAAGTTAAAATGTTGTTTTTATTAAAAAAAATATTAATTTTTGATAAGAAATAATAGTTTTTTATAATTTTTTTTTATATACCATTATTGTGAAACAAAAAAATTTCTTTTACATCTAATTAAATAAAACTTAAATATATATTTTTTCTAAAAAGTACAAAAAATTTAAAATAAAATAAAAATAATCACGTAGGTATAAATTTGATCAAGAAAAATTATTTGTAATTAAAAATTATTATTTATTTAATAAAATTTTTCATAAAAGTTTTTTTTTAATAAAAAATTATTTTTTATTAAATAAATAATAAATAAAATTTTTATTAAATAAATAATAATTTTTTATTAAAAAAAAACTTTTATGGAAAAGATGTAATAATTTAAAAAAATTTATAAAACATTTTAAATAAAAAATTATTTTTCATAAAAGTTTTTTTAAATAAAAAATTATTTTTCATAAAAGTTTTTTTTTAATAAAAAATTATTTTTTATTATTTTTATTAAATAAATAATAATTTTTTATTAAAAATAAACTTTTATGATAAATTATTTTTTATTTACAATGTTTTATACTTTTTTTGAAATTATTACATCTTTAACGTTGAATATAATATATTTTTTTTTTTTGCATTAAATTAGATGAAATTTAAATATTTTCATTTTTTAAGCTTTGCAAGGAGCATTTACCCAGAAATTCGGCTATAAGCGCCTGCCAAAGGCGATGCTGCTTTGACTTTAGCTCATCTACGCCCAGTGAGTATTCAAATTTTGCTGGCATGGCTGGTTATTTGCTAGAATGAGGTACTATTTTGTTAGCAGTTAACTTGCGGCAGTGATTTTCTTTTACTGTAATTATAAAAACATAAAAAGAAATTATATACAATTTATGTAAAAAATAGAAAAAGAGGAAAAATGTTAAAATAATAAAAAAGTTTACAAGTTTTTGTATTTTTAAACAAATTGTTGAAGTGATAATAATTATATGCATAAGCGCTTCCTAATGAATCGGTAATATGTATAACAAAAAGCGCTACTTAGAATGGCAAACAAACAAATAAACTTGAGTGTTGGTCGGCTCGTTATATATACATATACATACATAAAAACAAAAACACACGTTGAGTTTGTTCATAATTTTCTATGCAGTGTCTATCACCAAATTTGTATGCACAAACTTTTATTGCCGTGTTAATTACCAAGACGAGACGATTCGACGCCTTCAATACATATTTGCATATCGCCACACGAGTATTTATAGCAATGCTTATAACCAGGCGTGACTTACATTTAGCGGTTCAGCTACCTATATCTAAATAAGCAACTGTCAATCGGCTGTATATTTTATGCAAAAGACAGTCAACAATATGTGAGCGTGTCAGTTTTGTCACTTGCTGGGTCCACTATAGTGTCTCCACTACGGTTTGGCTTATAGCTGTCTGCACGACATAAAATCGCACATAAACACTTTGCCGCCCACTTGCCCATTCATATTTATTGCATTCAACGACTTTTGCGAATGTGTCGTCTTGCAACGCTCTTGCCAATTGTGCAAGTTTAGCTGCAGAAATGCATAATTTTCGTTTTGTTTTTGCAAATGTGTCTAAATTTTACAGTTCACTTTGATTTGCATACACAATTTTCACTAGACAAGGCTGCCGTTCATTTCAGTTGATCGTCGCACATCAAAAGTGCAGTCAGTAATAAGTAGCAAATGAAATTTCACTGCATTCACTACACTTGTAAAATGATTTTTACTACAAGTAACAACTTTTATGAATAAATCGTAAAAATCTTAATTTCAAATTGTATACATTTTTTTTTTTACACCAAGAATTAAACAAAATTTTCAGTAAAATGGTAACCCTTCCCTCAGAAGAAACGAATAAACTTAGTTTTATAATAAGTTTGCATTCCATTGCAACATACAAGTATGTATCTTATAAATTTATAATTTTTCAAAAACCCCCCCTTAATACCTGGAAAAGTCGCTGTTCAGGAAAATCTTGACTTTTTAAGAAAGTACATTTAATACCACTATATATAGGAGAGAACAGTATTTAAAAGCCTCTAAGGAAGCATTACCAAATATACAAATAATTAATCCGGAATCGGCATAATTCTCCCAGGCACAAAAGCAACTTAACACTTTCTTTTAGGCATATCTCTTGGAATTTTTTATTAGTTCCCCAGATATCCAGAAGTAGAACGCACGAAGAAAGCGAAGCTCCGACCCCTTCCTATTATATTGAGAGCTGAGCTAAGTTGCCTTTTGGTGTCGGTTACTGAGCTCAAGGCTAATATTGCCGCTCTACTATTAGAGTTGATAGTCATTTCTCTGAAGGAGTCTGCACTTCGAAGCTGTAGATCTATTGATCTACCTTAATGGTAGAAACCTCGGCTTGAAAAATGGTACAGTATTTAGAAAATCTAAAAATATTGTTGATAGACAGTTCTTTCCTGCTTTTCTATTAGAATTCTTCCACCAACCTTCACCCGAGCTTTGACATATCCGTGAAGAAAGTCACTGGTCCCTTTCGCGGCCACACACCTTCCGGCAATATGCAAAATGGCATTCAATAAAAAAAAGTTGACTCGATAGTAACAAAAAAAATTCAACGATTTTATGTCATTAGAAGTCCCGATATATTCCACATATGCCACCCCAGCATTTTCATATGGCAAATCAAGTTTTAAAAACATTTATTCTTCTCTTCGTTTCAATCTAAACTACTTAAAACTGAAATCTTCTTCTTGAAGGAGTGAGAGATGATAATTATTAAAAAATAAATTTTCTATCCTTTCAAACAGAACTGCTACTACTTCTGTAGACTACTGCTGTGTCACTGTGTGTGACGTCAGTAAAACATCTGGTTTTTGTAACTGATAAGTACTTACGTTATAACGAAGCGTAGCACAATAATTCCCTACAGGTTCACTTGCCAAATGTTCTTAGTAAATTAATGGAGCAATTATTCATGATAATATGACTAACAATTCGAAATATTTTTTTATGTAAAATATTAAAAAAAAACTCATTACGTCTATCAAAGTTCATTTAAACAAAAAATATTACAGTATGATATTATAGTTTAAACATCATAAATCAAAACTACTATATTGAAAAACATAAAATTTTTAGATATACTAAATTGTTGCCAATGACCGATATAATCTTTTATACTCTCAGATATGTATCAACATCTACTTTTAGTATGTAATACTTGTGTGGCACAATACACAAGATTTGAGTTAATGATCTCAACTAGATTTGAATGCTGCAACAAAGTGAATTATGTCATATATTTTAATTTAAATCAACACATCAGTGGCAATGTTTCCATTTCCACACAAACTTTTTATAAGGCGTACAAGATTTTAGGCGTTACAACAACGGCGCGCCAAAACAAAACGACATAAAATAGAAACAGAAAAAATGAAATCATCTCAAGAACATTTCATGAGCAATACAACAAAAGTGAATAACAAGAAAACAAGTTTTCCTCGTCTCAAATGTTTGGCTATTTTTAGTATTTTAACGCAACTCTCGGTCATTTCTAATTACTTACAGCTTTTACATACTTACAAACTTACATATGTATATATGTACATATAAGTAAAATTAATTAAGTTTTGTGCTTTTGAATTTGAGTTAAAATTTTTTTTTCTTGTTATGGTTTTTATTGACAAAAATTTATAGGCGCAAATGTCAGCTTTTTCGCAATTTTCTTTTACTTTTTCACCTCTCTTATTGTTTACGGTACTTAAGGGGCTAAACATATAGTATAATGTCAAGCTATTTACACTCAAAATTAAGCAAAAACCAAAATTAAAAAAATTTAATAAACAAAAAAAAGTTTATTTTATAACATCATCAGCTGTGGCTTACCTCATTCGCTCATAAGTTTAATTCTTCATTAAATCAATTTAGAGTGAGTATTTGCTTTTGTTGGCATTTTATGAGTCATTCGTTTGTTTTTATTCTTCTTGATATGAATGAAACCGAAACTAAAAGCCATAAAAACATTTTGCTGCTGATACGTTTAATTCAAGTGAGAAGTAGAAACAGCAGCTGGTTTTTTGTATACACAAATGTTGCTGACACAAATACACCGCTTTTGGCTCTATTGTTCAGTGGCGCGCGCACGCATGCGCCAAAAAGGTTATTTTCCCATTTAGGTGTCAAATAAGAATGTTGAACAACACTTTTTAATAGATAGTAATAAAAATGAAATGACTATTTTTTTTTAATAAATAGTTTGACAAAATTATGGGCGATCATTTCAATAAAAATAAAACTATTGGTTCATAAAATGTTGTCATTGTTGTTTCCATGAAAATTACTTTAAGCCAATGTTTATGATATAAACAGGTTATAAAAGTAATAATTAGTTGTTCATTACTTTGTTATGGTTTTCTGTGTGTATAAAGGAATTATATAAGAAATAGTGGATTCTTGCAATTCCCGACGTCTAGTGGAGTATAAATAGTAACGAGTTTTCTCGAAGAAGTTCACAATTTAATGACTGTCGACAATTTCGATTCCATATATCCGCTATGAACAAAACTTCAAGACTGGGTTTCTTCACATAACTTAATATTAGGTCTACAATTTTTAAGATCATTTTAGTATTAAGTTGATACTGGGTATTACCAGATAAGGATCACGTTTACAGATATTAATTTCTAGGGCATTTAATTACGAATTTCTTATTTTTGAACCATTTTAGAAGGAAGCTTATCACATAAATTAATAATTGTAGTGGTGCAAATTTATCAAATTCAGCTTCTTTTATTTACCATCTGATTAAATTTGACTAGAACTACGCGCACAAAAGGAATCGATATGTTCGTGTTAACATCGAAAAAGTTATAGAAACAGTGCTTGAAAATCATTGTGTTGGCATCAGAGAGATGGCAGAATATCTCAACATATCTTATGGATCGACACAACACATTATGGTTAATGTTTTAGGTATGATGCGGTATGCTAGACTTTTACCAAAATACCTGAATCCTTTTGGCTCAAAAGAAGCCTATTTTGAAGGCGATTATCAAGAACTGTATTGTGTGAAAACGTATGTTTTGCTTGTCAGTTCGGATTGTTGATCACATGTTAGAATATGTTGTGTAACGATTGATAGTGAGATGTAACAATCTTAACCTAATGCCCTAAGCACCAGTCTTCTCGAACAGTCATTCTTGTTGTTGATATATTATGTTCATTTCTACTATCGGTTGAATAAATAATTACTTTCGTCTCATAAATAATAAATGCGTTTTTACTACATAGCATAGTCTTATCTTAACCCAAGTACTCGATACACATGGCAACATAAGGGCAACTCATTTCATTAATGTATTATGAAAAATAGGTTGGAGGTTATTTAGATTAAAATAGAGCTAAGTTCCCGCTGTTGCAATGGTTAATAGCCACACCTTATGGTACCTAAGATAATTTATTTGTTATTTAAAATTAAAATGTGCAAATGAAAGGAAAATGCTGACCTTGTCTTAATTAGATAATTAGAACGAACAGCTACCGCCATATATATATTTTTTATTATTATTTATTTTCAGAATGACGCCAGCGTTTGTTTCATTTTTTTGCACATGATGTCATGGAACTGAATAACAGTAAGAATTAATTTGTATGAATTTTAATATATTAAAGAAACAAAAACGTATTATTTATTCATATATTAATTGTTAAGACTCAAGTTATGTCATTTGGTTCGCGTGAGCAATACATGAACAATAACAAAGTTAGTGCTACACAGAACCTTTATAAAAAATAGAATTGCCACTAATACACCCTCATCGGATTTATCGTCGATACTGTTTTCCAC